TTCAAACTAATTTCATTTAATCAATCTGATTGGTTGAAAACAATCTCAGAAATTCTGGTTATCGATTTTTCATGAAGGAGTTGGTGGTGGGCCCTGAGTGACCTGTAGAGAACGACTGGTTTAGAGCCTAAAATCTGTCAAATGAGGCGTATAGTTTTAGAAACACCAGGGACAAGGATAGTGTCCCACTGTGAGGGAAATGTGAACAACTAACTCTGTTACATTTTTCTAGACATTTTCAGGGGTGCATATGATGAGATAACGGCTTAAGATAAGTTTTAGTGAGTCGACAGTAGCTTAGGGGTTAGTGCGTCTCCCCATCTACGTATAGGCTTTGGTCCTCTGAGCGGGCTGCCAAGGTTCGAATCTGACCTGTGGCTCTTTTCCCTCATGTCATTCCTCTCTCTCTGTCTCTCTCCCTCTCTCTCTCTCTCTGATTTCTGACTCTATCTACTGTCCTGTCTCTCCAATAAAAGCATAAAAAGCCCATAAATCGTTAGCAGTCTCAGACTTTTAAGTTAGTTAGTTTACTTAATTTTGTTATTTTAGTAATTTTATTACAATTGATTTTAATCATATCTTTTTATTTATACATTTATAAGTTAAGATATAAAAATAATGTTAAATGTAATTTAGGTTTTATTACTGCTGATTCTATTGACAATTTTGTTTTGCGATCAACGGGTTGTTAACATTTATGCCAATAAATCATCTCAAACTTAAACAAAAATAAACCTTTAACAACAAAAAAATATTTTTTTTGTGTGACTTTTTTCACCACTGTCTAAGTCAGGCTTTCCCTACCTTGGGGTCCCGACCCCAAATATTGTACAATGGAATTCAAATGGAGTCCCCTGAAATATTTTATGAATGATAAAAATAAAATGTATTCAATCATTCTGCATTAAATAAGCTACAAACAAACTTGCAGTATCTCGGCCTGTCTGTTGTCCATGCTTCATGTGTCCAGCATTAAACTTCCAGCTTTATAAATACACTCTCACCTGGCTGTACACATCAGACACTGAGACAAAAAAATCCTCCCTATGTGCACAAATCTCATCCCGACCTCTCTGTCCACAATAAGTTACCTGCAGTATCCTTAAAGTGTTCTAAAATAAATGATTACTTGCATTAGGTAGAAGGAAACTATCACATGGTTGATAAAATAATCGTTTTAGTAAAAAGCTGGATGTGTTTTTGGATGTTTGGGCTCCCCGGAGTTGGGGTCACAAGCCAGTAGATTACGTTGAATATTCTGCGTTAGTTGTGCTTCATCTTGGTCTTTCCCTTTTGATAAACACATTTCAAAGAGGAGGACGTCTCTGTGTGTTTGGACCCAGCTGACGGGGACAAACACACACACATGAATATTCAGTTGTTGTTGATTGAAAACCAGTTTAACCAACCTGTGTGTGTGTGTGTGTGTGTGTGTGTGTGTGTGTGTGTGTGTGTGTGTTTGTGCTCCTGTCCCTCACACTGACAGACCGGTGTCAGACAGACACTTTACGATAAAGGTAACATTAATCCAGATTAATTCAACAGTCATCAGTTATACACTACCATGCAGGACTCGACTGTGTACCAAGGGCAAAACGGATTAGCTGTCATTTGCATAATAAACAGGCCGAACAAACAAACAGAGAGAGAGAAAAAAGCAGAGGTAAATAAACCTTGAAGTGAGTCCTTGTCTGCTTCTGTCCGTTCCTATGTACTCCGTTTATTAATCAATATTTGTCGGCCATAATTACAGCTGTTTTGCTTGTTGGGAAGTAATGGAGATTAATTAGTGACCTGCAACAAAAGCTGCATGTATGACGGGATAACGAGCGCCGCTTTGTGCTTTCATTTTTAAGTAATACGCCAAGTCATCCAAGAAAGTGAGGGAATTAACTTTATGCTTTTTAATTGTGTTGTTGTTTTACCTCATGTTTATCTTTGTTTGTTTCTTTTTTAAAGACCCCCTGATGGTTCCGTCTTTACATTAAGAGTCTCCGGAGCAGCCGAGCAGTAATGCGTCAGGTCTGTCGTGTCCGAGCCCGCCCTCAGTGGGACTTTCCCTCACTTAAGGTGACCTTCCCCAGATTAAAAAAAACAACCATTTAACATCTCGCCATCCGATACTATATTTGGCTCCAACATTTAAAGACGCTTTCACAAATTAGATTCCAGGAGACGGATGGGAAACACTCTTTGTCTGAAACGCTTTTACTGCTTCATCTGGCTTTGTCTTTGTGTTTTTTTTTTTTATTGCCAGAGATATTCAGCTTCTTTCTGTAATTCCATCTGCTCTGTATTTGAACGACTCCAATCCTCCCTTAATATTTAGATCTGCGTCAACATTCAGTTCATATCATGTGTCTTAAGGCTGCAGGGTCCGTACAGCAGCTTCATGGTGGTCTAATATCACTTGTGTATTTTGTGAAACAACTGCAGTCTGGATCATTTACAGTATTTCTAACTTTGGTCATGATGAATATGTGCTTCTCCTTTTTAAAGGTTTTTTTTTTTTTTTATGCCACACAACATCGGAGATAAATGTGTATATCATCTTTAGTCACATTTAACCTTAAAAACAAAAGTATATCGTGTCACATTGTATCATGTCATGTCGTACCCTATTCAAGCGGAAAAATCCGGACTTGAAAAATGAATCTAATACAGAAGTGCAAAGTCCTGCAGTACGCCGAGTGTCCACTTGAGGCTGGCTTCAGGAACACAAGAAGTCACATACACACAACAGTGGAAAAAAGCTGTTTTTACAGCATAAATAAACATGTTTACAGCCTGGTACAAAAAACAAAACGGGTCTGGTTAGTTATTGTCATCACTGGCACACACTGTACGGGGGGTGGATTTTTTTTAAACAGGTCCGTTTTGATTTTATGAATGATTCGTGTTAGTTATATTGTACATTAGTGTATCATTTTGGGTCATACCATATTGTATCTAATTTTATCGTATTGTGTTGTGTCATTCTCTTTCGTATTACATCAGATTGTGTTGTATCACATCGTGTCACATTGCACCATATCATATCAAATTGTATCACACTGTTGTATCATATCGCCACATGACATATTGTACCATATTAAATGACAGATCAGATCGGCTCAAGCCCCCCACGACTCAGAATGGGAAAAGCAGAATAGATAAAGGCTGGATGGATATCATCTCGTATCAATTCATATCGTGTTGTCATGTCAACGCAAATTCTATTTTGATGTTGGTGATCCAGGAAGTAGTTCACTTGGAATCAGAGTTTGGGAGTTTTTTTGAGTCAGTAAAAACAAATAAATAGACAAAGGGGGTTAAAAAATAAAACAACAGAAAATGTCACTAATCCTTACAAGAGACAGAAATGTGTCTGGACCCTGACACCTCTGGGAGCCTGCGGGCAGATAAGATTATGCCGTCTCATCCCGTCCAGAACAAAAACACTTTTAGAGGCCCCGCAGGACTCCAAACATCACGACACAACAAGAGTTTGTTCACGTCTGCCGCCGGCCTCATCAATAAGCCCCCCCCCCCCCCCCCCCCCGTGACACAACGACGATCCAGTCACTTAATGTCACTTTAACTCACACTGGATCGTTGTGTGGACTTTGTATAGCCACTGCTCGCTCTGGGGACAAGATCTTCTCTGAACACACTCCGCTGTCCTTTAATAAAAATATACAGAACAGATGTTTGTGATGGGTATATGGAAGAGGAAAAGATCTTTTAATCCTTCACGTGTTTGTTTTGTAAAAGTGATTGGTGGATATTAAGACTGTAAATACACTGAGATTGTTATTTATTTTAGGTGGAAAACAAACTGGGGGTACGTTTGTATATAAGTTGTGAATAAATGTGAGCTTTAGTTTGAATAATATCTAACTAATCAAAGAAAAGTGAGACAGGGGGAGTAGGGATGTACAAGTTTCACTTCTACCTACTCCTTTTTGGTCACTGTTACTTTTGTTTTTATTCTCTTTTTTTTTTTTTTTTTTTGAAAAAAGTCTTTCATACATTCATTCATTGCCATATTTAGCTAATTACTATAATAAAAAGCAATTTGAAATATTTTATAGACTGAGAAGAGGATCAGGGACACCATTGACACATTTGATAAATATATATATATATTTGAGTTGTCACTTTATACAACGCCGACATCTCAGTATATTATGAGTTTATGTTTTCTTCTAATGCAATTAATACCTTTTTTTTAATTGTAACATTAAAGACAAGAGTATGATTGAATTTGTAAAATGCATTTCTTCTTGCTCAATAAATCCAATTTACTGAATTAGAAGACTTTATTTTTCTTAATTTGGCCCTCTTCCTCCTCTAGAAATTATATATTGTGTATTTTTTTATTTTATATGATAGGAAACAGAAAGATAAATCATTTGTATGTGCTCTATAATTTTATTCTTTGTCTCACTTGTTCTACTCCAAAGAAGAAAACAAAAACAATCTATTTAAAAATACTTTGCAAAAAAAAAAAAGGTTTTGTTTTAAATTATGGATTCTTGTGTTAAAAAAAGATAAATAAGAATGTGGGTGTAAGAGCAAAAACAAAAATGTATATTTTTTTAATTTAAAAAAGTTTAAACAAAGGAACAAATAGAAATACATTTCAATGATTTTCAGACGAGCTTTTCTTCATCACCCAGAATCCTCTCGGTCTCGAAGTCACACATTCTGCAGTGTGTGTGTGTTTGTGGAGCATCCCTCACCCATTTCTCCTGAAGATGACCAAAAATATCTTTAAAACCAAGTTGTGACAACATTTCCTCCGCCGTGCGTTCCCCTCAAAACCCCTCGCCCTCCTCTCAGCGCCTATTGGCCCCGTTTGTTGTCGACGCGTCCCACTCCGCGTCACGATTGGACGACCGCTCCGCCCGTCTGCTTGACTGACATCCCCGCAGCCACAGTCTCCTCCCAGCGGCAGCAGACGCTATTTGAGTGGTGGACCAGCGGATTGTTGTACATAGAGCCGGTTTAGTGTCGTCAATGGGAAGCACGCGAGACGGTGGCAAAGCGAGTTACGGTCTACAGTGAAATCCGCGGCTGCTACCATGCTCTCCAGGTCTCTCTCGTGTCTGTGGATTACATTTTGCCTTCATTTATGCTGTTTTGTAGACAGCGGGGAAGCACAGAATGCGAAGGAAGGTAAGTTCTTAAAGTTTGGACTGCTCCATCCCGTCGCATTTGGAAGATATCCTCCAGAATTAATGGAGAGGTGTCCAAACCCTGCGCAAAGCCTTTACGATTTTCCTGTTAAATACAATTTACCGAAGAGGTGGATTTTTTTTTTTTGTTGGTTTATCCACACCGCGGTCACTCGAGGCTGGTTTGCCGGGGATGACAGCGCTGCTCCCGGGCTGTGTGCGAGCGACCTCTCGGCGTTTTTACGCACGGCAGTTAAAGGCGACAGAACGCGGATTAGACGCAGGAGCTGTTTTTTTTTTTTTTATTGAACTCCACTGCCAATGCGTTATCTGCGTAACTAACCTGCTCGGTATAGAATAACAACGTGTCACGATGAAAACTAGGTAATGTCAGCGTATCGATCGTCCCAGCAGGCGGGCTCGCCTCGCTGGAAAGTGAGGGAGCCGTGTATGTGGACGCAGTCTCGGAGGTTATTTCCTCTTTTAAGTGGCCTCAGCGGCTCTTAACAGTCCTGTCTGCTCCTGTTTCTTTGATGGAAAATCCGACAGACTGATGCGGATCCGTAAACTGCATCAGACGCTCAAGTTGGAAACATATAGTCTATAAAACAGCCAAATTAAAGGAGAATAAAAAAAATCCCCTAATGGCTGAAAAATGACACTTTTAATTGAGCAGATTCTGGATTAATTAAAGAAATTATGCGATGCGTAAAACAGACAAATATGTGGCTTTAAACTACAGTGTAATAACGGAGCGCGCTGTCCGGGAGTCACAGCTTCTATGAAATGTAAATCCTCGGTGTTGATATGCGGGACCTCCATATCTCTAGGACATAACCTAGAGCATATTTTATATTTCACGGTGGCGCGTCCTGGCTGCTGCCCCCCCCCCCCCCTTCCTCCTCTCATGCCGATTGAGCTGTCTGCTGATATTAAATAGGCCTACAATTGAAACAACTTCATTTTGATGAAAGCCGCCGCGGTGCCGCTTTGCGCTCTTTCCCGCACACCTCCAGAACATAAAAACAGGCAGCATTTGACAAAATCCTCCTCCTCAGATTAAATCTGAAAACAAGCCGCTTGTTGGGCCGTTCTGAGCAGAAAATATGTCTTAGTTTTGGCGCATGTTGGGTACAGTATTGCGTGCGTCGGGATGGAAGCAGCCGCTGCGTTGACCTTAACGTATGAAATTCCATTTCAAAGACGAGTTCTGATAAACTATGGTGTAAAATAAAGCCACATTTCATCGTTAAAATATCTAATTGAATGAATCTAATGCGTAATGATCCCTTGATTCCCTCTTTGTGCGCACTGTCAGTGTCTTCATTGCTCTCCCTGAAAGTTCCCCGCAGGCACCAGGACCTGTCTGCTGCAGTGTGTATATTCTTATTGAATGTTTTTTTTCCTGCTTTAGCTGCTGCTGCTAGAAATTAGGTCACGGGTGTATGCGCTATAGATATCAATGTGTGGCCTATCAAAAATACCCTGCCGCGTGCACCCGGTGAGATTTAACCACCTGCCTCTCGGTTTCCTGTCACTAGTGATTCTGCTGGACTCCAAGGCACAGCAGACAGAACTGGAGTGGATCTCCTATCCTCCCAATGGGGTAAGTCTGCACAATCTCTGCATCGCCATGCACACAGATGTACCCCCATATAAATATATATGTTGCAGCCTATCTCTGCTCTGTGACAGGAATAACTTCATTTAAAAGAGGAGGGAATAAAACATACACACAAGGACACCAGCAGTTTATAAATCCCTGCTCATGATCAGAATAAAGATTGTTGGAGGTTGTTTTTTTTTCTGCTGCTAAACTCCCCGAGCTTTTGACATTCAGAGCACAAAGGCCTTAAGCAAACCTCTTCCAACTTGCTGCTCTGATTAAAAAAAAAAGCAGGCAAACTTTTTAAATAAATAATGTGAGCGGGAGCAGATAAACTGAGCACGATCCATCTTTAAAGATTTGTGATATAAAAATGCCTCCCGCTAATCTGCCTCCATATTTCATACACCTCTGTCATTTTCACTGCAGAGTAATCACCTCCGCTTTTATTACCAATCATTACCTTTCTGTGGGATGGCTCTGAGGGTGTAAATCCAAACATGGTGCCGCTCTCCTAATGGATGCACTCTGTACAAATGTCTTCCCCTTCCTTTCAGTGGGAAGAGATCAGCGGCTTGGACGAGAACTACACACCCATTCGCACATACCAGGTTTGCCAAGTCATGGAGCCCAATCAGAACAACTGGCTTCGGACTAACTGGATAGAGAAGGGCAATGCCCAGAGAATTTTTGTGGAGCTGAAGTTCACTCTGAGGGATTGTAACAGCCTACCCGGAGTGGTGGGCACGTGCAAGGAGACGTTCAACCTGTACTACCAGGAGACGGACTCAGAGGTGGGCAGGAGCTTACGGGAGAACCAGTATGTTAAGATTGACACGATAGCGGCGGACGAGAGCTTCACTCAGGGCGACCTGGGTGAGAGGAAGATGAAGCTGAATACAGAAGTGCGCATAATTGGCCCCCTGTCCAGGCGGGGCTTCTACCTGGCCTTCCAGGATGTCGGGGCGTGCATCGCCCTGGTCTCTGTCAAAGTGTATTACAAAAAGTGCTGGTCCATCATCGAGAACCTGGCCACGTTCCCAGACACCGTGACGGGGTCGGAGTTCTCCTCGCTGGTGGAGGTCGAGGGCATGTGCGTGAGCGACGCCGAGGAGGAGGCCGACAACTCCCCCAAGATGCACTGCAGCGCCGAAGGGGAGTGGCTGGTGCCTATTGGGAAATGTATATGCAGAGCTGGATTCCATCAGAAGGGAGACGCGTGTGAACGTGAGTACCTTTTTTTTTTTTTTTTTTCTTTTTTCTGTTAGGATCACAGCGCTTGTACAGTTTTAGAAGTCATTCCCAGAGTGTCAGAAATCAGTCGGGTGCGTCCTCTAATAAACATGACAAAAGGTGTGCCAGGGAAAGGACTATTTGTGATTTTATTATGCAAAGCGGGTGAAGGATAATTTAGGCGTCTCTGGCTGGAGTTCTGTTGGCAAATGGGCTTAAAAGCGGCCGATCTGACGGCAGCGAAGAAGGATAAAGTATTGAGGCCAAACATCCCCAGAGTAATAATTGGATTCAGCGTTAATTGATTACAAGGCTCTTAATTTATAGCCTTGATTGTGTTGACACTGGGATTAAATAATAACTGGAGTTTAGCTCCTCAGCTTGATTTCACTTCTCGTTCAGGCTCAGCCAACACAATCAGCAGAAGAAGACTCAGGTTTTAGAGGAAGTCCAGACCGTCTTTCAGTATCTCTCTCGCTCTCTTCCCCCCCTGGCCGAGTGACCCTGACGGGGAGGGGAAACAAATAGCTGCCGTGCTGTGGCATTTAGGCCTCAGGATATTTATGAAGGAGCCCTAACAGGAAGGGCAAACACACCCTCGCTGTGGCTGTTTCTTTTCTTTTCTCTTTTTTTTTCTTCTGCAGTGTTGTGGTGCCGGATCGTGCCGCTACACTTAACAATAACCTGCTTTCTGTCACTGCGACGATCAGAGGATTACTTTCAGTGGCTGCCTGACTTGAAAGATAAAAATCAGTATGGATTAAAAGGGTTTGACTCAGGTCAGGGAACTTAAGTGGCCTGCCCCGTCAGCCAAACCTTTTTTTTTTGGTAACCTCATAGTAAGCAGCTTATGAGGAGCAGCAGCCAGTAATAACTAAAAGGAATGTATCTAAGGACAAATGAGCGTCCTCCATTAGAGACCCCCACAGAGGGGAGGTGTGTTAATGAAACATATTAAGGCCGTTGTAATTTAGAGCAGCTCAGTTGTGCTACATCTCTAATGTTACCGGGCGATCGCTGATTCAACCCCATCGAGCTCCTTTTTTTATTGTCCTTGTCGTTTTAATATGCAGAGATGTAAGATCCAGTTGTGCCCAGTGGTGAAAAGGAAACTCTCCGTTTATTTCCACTGGGAGAGCGGAGCATGCACGACAAGCGGCAGCCTCCTTTTCTTATTATGTGTCACACTGTTGCATCCCTCTATTAATTACTGTGTTCAGGTGTCGTCTAAAAAAAAAAAAAAACAGCAGATCCAGGCAGCAGCAGCAACGCGACCCTCAGGTTGTTTAAAGCCCGGGGAAGAAGCCTCCTTTAATGTGTGTGTGGATCAAACTCCAGCCCTGACACGGCACCTTTATGAGCTTTCTCTCCACCGAGGCATGAGAAGCCTTTGTATTAAGGGGTAGTTAATCTAAATAAAATGAGAATCACGGTGCACCATCAGCACTTCTTCCAGCAAGCTCCTCTGACATTAAATTGTCCATTCAGTAGTTTCCCCCCTCAGCACAATCTAAAAGCTATTCAAAGTATTTCTATCAGCCGAACAGCAGAGCAATGAGTCCAAGCGGCTGTGACCGGTATAAATGTGAAGCTCTGGCATTTGGACCCTCAGAGGATCCTGTGTTGGTGTAAAAGAACGTCTTTATAATGGGGTCTGGTGGCGATGCTGCAACTCAAGAAGAACGGCTTCTTTATCCTTCAAACAAAACTGCTCAAAATGTTCTCGTCCCAAATGGTCAGACGGACGTTTTCCCTCAGACTCTCTTTTTTTTTTTCTTTTCATACAAGTGGCCAGCTTTCAACACTGTTATCTGACAGAAAATTAAACTTCCCTAATCCATTAATAAAGACGTTACCTTCGACAGCAGTAAGTCGGTTCATTTTGGTCAGTAATTAACTGAAGCTAAAATTAACCGGTGTTATGGTTTGAAGAGTGACCGTGTTAACTGGTGACTTTCAGCCGAATGTGTCTGTGGTTGTTATAGTTACAACTCATATATGATTGATATTTTTGACATTACAATAAAAAACCTAAACAAAGTGTCATGTGTTAAAACATTTTCTATCTTCAACATCTGTTGTAACTACGATAACCACAGACTAAAGGACACCAGTTAACATGGTCACCGTTTAAACCATAACACCGGTATTATAGACAAATCAATACAAACATCAGCTTTCTGTCCCTCCAATAGATTTGACTTCTTAAGAGGCTATGATGATGTCGAAAACTCTGAATTACACAGGTCTGTAGAAAAAAACCTGACAAATAATAGAAACTTTTTGGTTTTGTTATATCACCCAACAGCGCTAGTATTTCACAATAAAAGCATTCCTTGGGGCACAGATGACCTTGCGGTTAGCTCGCGCCCCGTTTAGGAGGCTGTAATCCTCCAAGCGGGTGGCCCTGGTTCATATCCGGCCTCTGGTTTGAGGACTAAAGCCTCCTAAATGTCCTACTCTATCCACTGTCCTGTCCAATAAATAATAATGATGAGCTCTTTGAAGCACAGGAGGCGCTGTGCTCTTGTTGTCCACAGTCCATCTAACCGTGTATGAGCGGGGTTCAGATGCTAACTCAAACCACTTCACTGACAGTTAAAGCTTTTCCAAATCGTATTTGAATGATGCTAAAATAAATGTGGATAAACAACATTGATAATAAACATCTAGAGACTTTTGTCCAGCTCTTTTCTTTACTTTTCTTTGGTCATTAAAAACTACTTGCGGAGTTTCAATGAGTCATGTCATGGTGTGTTTTGAAACTATAACTCAGCTATTTGTGACCCCCCCCCCCTCTACCAGCCCCACCCAGAGCAGCACTGAGCCTGTGATATTGCAGCAGACTTGTACTTACTTTGAAGCCTAAGAGGCGGAGAAATGATGTCATGGTTTTATAAATGGTACTGTGTAGAACTATTGTAGTTCATAGAAGAACATCCAAAAGTGGAGGAGGGACTGAAAGAGCGCCGTTTCAAAGAGCGGAGGAAATACAAAGACGTGTGCACATTGACATAATAGTGCACCCTCTTCACTCTTTTTATCATCATACTTTCATTACAAGGACGGGGGGGGGCGATTTGATGATTCAGAGCTGGCGTCATGATGATTGGTTGCAGGCTTGTAGACACTTCCTATTTCAGATGTCTCGCCCATTTTTACAATCTTTTTGCTTGATGAAGGTCTAGTACGGAGTCATTGCTTAGAGATGTTTGTTTGCAAATTAGGCAGTGTGTTGGAGTTTACCTTTAGGTGTTTGATGGACACGTTGCTCTCCTACGCACCTGTCTGATGAAATGGATGTGTGAAGGTTTTTTTTCTATTTTGAATCACAAGGGCGGGGGAAAGTTTCAAAAGTCCTGCAAACATGTTGGCGGTATTTTGATCTGTGTAACGAGTGAATGACTTGTGGTATAAAGCGTTATGTAAGTAGGGTCATTTATTACTGTTTAGGAAAAATAATCATTTTAGGAAAACTTTCACATTAAAACGAAACAGAGTAAAAAAAGTGGACTTCCTGTATCTAATCAAAACGGAGAGATCTACATTTGAAGGAATGACAAACAATGTTTTTAGATTTTGATTCTCAAGTCCTGGAAAAAATCGGATTCCTTTGTTTGAAAAGATTTTTTAAACTTTGAAAAAAACCCATTATGTTGCTGTTGGAAGCTGTTTCCATGTGGATTTGATCCCCCCGTGTGTTTAAATAGAAAAACAGTTCACCGGCGGGACTCGTCGTCCGACATTCTGACATGGGAAAGTTGTGGAGGCAGAAGGGTTACAGACTGTTGAGTGATCAGACAGGCGCTTCTGTTGACGCATACTGCTCCTTAACACAAGTCTTTACTGGCCTATTTTAGTAAGTGCAGCCGTGCTACGGTTACAACATGGCCGCCGAGTAAAACCCCCAGCCAGAGGGTGGGCTGCAGGTGGAGCGGGCGAGCGTGAGCGGAGCTGTCAGTCATGTCATTTGAGGAGCCCCCTCTGTGGATGCGAAGGCCTCCTCCCCAAATGTGTTGTGATCCACTCATTCATCACCGTCAGCAAAGAGGGACCCCTTGTCTCTCACCCCTACACCCCCCCCCCCCCTCCCCTCCTCCCTCCTCCCTCCTCCCCCGTGTCTCTCTTTAACTCTTTGTGTGGCAATCTGTGGCAGTAAATGTCACTCTTCTTCTCCGCCCGCTGCGTTCACTGCTCTCAGTGTAATGGGTGTTGAAAAAGGCCAGTTGAAGTGTCCCCGCAGCCTGCGCGGGGCCTTCATTTTAGCGAGCGGTGCGTGTTGTTGAAAATAGCGCCCATTCATCCGCTGGTCTTGTTCGGCGCTGGCTGCCGGTTGCAGCGGAGCCGCAGAGTCGTTTGGACAGAGAGAGGGCCCTTGTGGGAGGACACTGCCGTCTTTGTTCGGCTCAATCCAGGGAATGCATGTTGTCCCATTTTGACACATCACATCATTGTGGTACTAAGTAACCAAGCCTGAGAAATGATTAACTGTTGACCCTCGCCCAGAGACGGGGACGAGAGGCCCCTATCTGCTGGGTAAAAACACGTCCGTATCTGGCTGCTATCGGTGCATGCTAACAAGAGAATTAATGAGAGGATACAGCATCCTGTAGACGCCCGCTCCATCCATCTCCACTGTCAGGGAGTTGGACAGAAGTTAGTTGGAGACTGATTGATGATTGAGCCCCCAGGGGGGAAACATTCAGGGATCAAGCACGACAGCTAACATGTATGGAAGCCACCAGGCGGCCCGGGCAGCCCGGCCTGCAGGAAAAGCTGCACTTAGCATTTCAAATGGAGCCAGGAAGCCAGCAGTCAGGAGGTCCTCATTCGTCGTGATGCTCCCCTTGATTGATAAGGTGTGAATCTAATGCACCAAATGGCCGTCTGTACCGCCGCCGCAGAGCTTAATTATGCAAATGACAGGTGTGTGCCGAATCCACAGGAGACCCAAATTGACCTAAATCACTCACGATTGAAATACATTGGTGATG